TCGTTTTATAATTCTATTACAGTATTGTTTTCTTGAACAAAAGTGTTTACAAACATCATTGTCTGAGATTTCAACTCTGCAAAATCATTTATCTAGACATCACAGGTTACAGATTATATACATTGTAAAATAAGATGTAAATGATAGTGAAATAAAATTATAAATTATGTGATAGTGAGGTTTATACAAACTATGAAATTGCCATTTCATAAAATTTTGAGAACTATAACAAAGTCAAACAAAAAATTTAAAAATGTGGAGTCAATTTTCCTCATTTTTTAGTGCATGGATTACAAAATTTGATTAGTATTCTTATGGGCTGTAACTTCTAATTAAATGCCCAAAATTTGACCGAGAATTTAAAAATAATTTCAGAGAAAATTTCACAGAAAAATATAGAGCTAATAATGTTCCATGTTTGATTGTTGAAAAAGCAAGTTTCCAATTTAGTGTATTTATAATTTATTTAAGAAATTTGATCTACGTATAGCAAAAAAACAAATATGAATCACTATTAAAATTTTTCCTAGTATTGCATTCCATATATCATGTTGACACCTGTATGATGCACTTGCACTTGACTCGTAGATAATTTGATATGTGATATTTTTGATGAAACATTATCTACGTCAGGAATTATTTCGATAACAGATTTTATTATTAAGAATATTTTTGCAAAGTCAAAAAACTGAAAATAAATAACTATAAAAAAATCTCTATAATTAATAACAGTGTACTGTTATTAACTACATCAATGTTATACATATTGAAGAAAATATTAAATAAATAATTTATTGTATTATTACTCTATAAAGTGTTATTATTTAATTTGGCATGAATTGGGATAGGTCGGGAAACTAAAAAACTGTGTTTTTAATTTTTAAAGCGTAATTAAGTTAAATTAAGATATATCAAAAAAATCCTTTACCCAGCGCTTTATGATATTCTGATAAATATCAATGTTCATGAAATGATTAGTTTAAAGTTAATTAAATCAGTTTTAACGAAATATATTCGAGGCTTTCTGGATAGAGTCAATTTAATATAGTTACAATCAATAAATGCGTTGAATTTAATTAAATAGGTAACTTAATCGTTCGGGTCGACATATTAGCTTCACAAAATTAAGCAAAACGCAGGTAAATCGATTCTGTTTGATCTGATGTCTAATATGTAGAGACCTATAATACTAATTCAAATTGGGAGCTGGTAAAAAATTGTATAATTTTATAAAAATACTATGGAATTACTTTATTTATGCCTCTATCAAGGAATAAAAAAACACTAAATCAAAACGAGTGTAAGAATAACCTTTTAAGATCTAGGATATACTTGTATTTGTAATGGACACAAATCCTTTGTGATAGACTACTCTTCAATGAAAAATTCTAATACAAATATTAAAATTGAAACACTTATTTCAGTATAAACAGGGTATTTTTGATCTCTCTATCTCTATCTCTATCTCTTACTCTCTATCTCTATCTCTTACTCTCTCTATATCTCTCTATATATATCTCTCTCTTTCTCTCTATTAAGTAATTTTAATATTAAATTTAGTATCAATCAAAAAATATTAATTAATATAATTATTTTATATAAATTCATTATAATCATTTTAGTTTATTTTTTATATAAAAGGGAGAAACTATTTTTACTATTATACGCCTCGCTAATTTCTCTACATCTGATATTTATTTAGATATAAACTATGCAAATTAAAACAAAAATGTAAAGTAAGCAATTTAGAAAAATGGTCAGCTAATATAATTGATCAATTGATTACTTTTGTATGTAGAGAATATTAAGGTAATCTATATCATTTATATTTTCAGAACTTATGAAGAGTACTTCAACAATTACTTAGCATTTTCCAAGACTTGATAAGTATAATTGTTATATCCATATTAAGTCCCATATTTTTTGTTACAATAGAACACACAATTAAAAAAGCTTCAAAATTTAATTGTATATCAACTATTAAGTATGATGAAGAAATTAAAAGCTCTTTTTAATATATCTCTAAGTTTGTATGAAAATGTGCAAAAATTTAGAATAAAAAAAAACATGATTTATCGTAGCTATTGGATAGGACCAAAAATACACAAAATTAAATAAAAACTTTGTGCAATACTGTATTATCAGTTCTTAATAAAGATTTTGACAAAAGATAAATTATATTATTTTACAAATTCAATTAAGACATATTAATAATTGACCATCAAATATGTCACCATATGAACAAATCGGCAAATATTTTATTTTAATATTCACTTAGAAACTAATCCCAAAATATCACACAACTCGTTCGAGTTGACAAATATTGTAAGTCTAACACGAAAAAATAGATTAGCAACGTTTGCAAATCACACTAAATTTTATCTTAAATAAAAAGCAAATATTACAGAAGTGTGTCAAAAAGAAAAAGCTCATATTGGATTAACAACAAATTTAGAAAAAATAAATTGCGATATTAGTTAAGAGGACATTTGGAGGTGAGTTTGAGGTGATTCCAAAAATGAGATGGCCATTTAATTGTAAATAATGATCGAAGATATTACATAATTCATGTCATAATGAGTTTGGACGCAAATAATTTTTTGTGGTATAAAATAAATTATTGTTTGATTAAGTGCTGATATCACGATGGAATAATAGTTTATTAAGACGTGTCTTGGCAAAAATTCATTATTGTGAAGATGATTGGCAGATGGGTAAAAAATATGACAGCCATTGAGTTACATAAGGTGCTTATGGAAAACAAAGACATGGAATGACATGTGTGGATTCTTTTGTATTAGGAAAAACGATGGAGGTTTTTCTGATGATATGATAAATTATTATTTACGAAGCTTGTAAATAATTTTTCATTATAGATAATATGTTATTAAGCTGATATATAATTATTTATATATGGAATATTACTTTTACTCTTCCAATCGAAAAACAATGACAATCAAAATTACAAAGGCAATCAAAAGCAGTGGTTTACTGATAATAGACATTAGTGAACGTATAATAGAAATCATAGATTTGTTACACAAACCGATAAATATATATATATATATATATATATATATATATATATCATGTGTATCATATTTCCATTAAACAGTTAATATATCATAACACCTGACTCCAATATCTAAAATCCACATAATACGTCCTGTGATTCACGTACATTTTTTATCTTGAGTGGATCTTTCAAACCTTGACAAAAGTATTACTTTATTATTATTATCTAATTAAAAATAATTGTTTGTTAGTTATTTCTGAGAAATGATAATTTATCTTTATTTTCGTAATATATTTTAGCCCAAATGTTGTACGAGATTATTTGGAACAAAACGTGAGATAACAGAATTAATTTAGGCTTATAAAATTTTACTTTGGATATTGTACATGGAAAGTTACAGATTTGTTGTGAACTGGTCATTATTTTATTAACTGAAAAATTTTTGGTTTTAAATAAATATTACAATGATATTTATGTAATTTTATCTATTGAAAAAACTATCATGATAGTTTATAATTTTATTAAACAAAGCGCATTCTAGAATATTCAGAATTGTCCAGAAACAAGCATTTTAAATTTTGTTAAGATAATTAAAAATATTATTAAATTTTATTTGTATAATTTATAATGAAAAAGCCGGAAAGCATCAGTTGTATATAAATCAGAAATAAATCGCTCATAAATGTACTATTAATAATTATATTATTGTATTTGCAATAAAATCATTTGATTGCTATGATGTTACACGTTTATTTCTTGCAAAATTCGCAAAGATGTGCTATTTATATAACTGATTTCATAATAAAGCTAAAATAGTTATGTTATAACGAATGTTTACTTGAAACATACGAATAGATTTTATTTGAGTTTGCAAAGATATTGCTATTTATTTTTGATCGGGGATATAAAGTAAAAAAAGAGAGATGGGTTATAAAAAGTCAAGTTTAAATATTTTTTTAAGTCGAAGATTCACTAATTCAGATATGATTAAGAACTTATAATATAAATAAACTTATAATGCAAAGTTTATGCTCTTTTAATAAAAAAATTCTCATGACTATATATTTTAATTTATTTCTATACTGTTATCATCCAATTTGTTATTGATTGGCGCAAATTTGGGATAGAAAATCTGAATGAAAATTTTAAATCATATTTTTTTATAGACGACTAATTTTTACTAAATATTTGGGTCCGAATTTGTGACAAAATACCCTTAGATGATAAATATATAATTCAGTATAAATATGCCATGAAAATTAAATTAGTTCTAATAGGCAATGAGAAATAATTTAGACAATGAGAATTATTTAGTATGGAATTATGTATTATTTTGTATTATTACTATTAGTTATTAGACTATATAATAAAAATGCAATCGCTCCAATAAATTACTAGATTAATCACGAATTCTTCTTAAAATTTGTCTTGTTTAATAAAGAATAAATTTTTTATTAATCAAGTGCTTTATATTATCAATGTTGACAAAATTATTTAGAATTTCATTAAAAATAATAAGGCTCTTAAAGCAATTAATAGTAAATGATAGATGGGGGAATAAAGTAAAAAAAAATATAGAAATATGTTATATAAATTTACATTTAATATTTTTTTCAAAGTTGAAGATTTACTAATTCTGCTACGAAGTTCTTAACTTAATTATAATATGAATGCAAAGTTTATGCTATTTTTTTTAAGAATGATATAAAAATTCTTTTAAAAACACATTTAAATATTATGCATATGCAAATTCAGACTATGTAATTTACATATATATGTGTGGGTGATTTTTAGTTGATTTTTTTGATAAAAGCAAAAAAAATATAAGAAACTTTCGGAAAAATTTTCAGAAGATACAATCATAAAATTCAATGACAGTACATTTCATTCAACTACTGGAAGTCATTTACAAAAGTGTAACTCTATATAATGTTTAAATTGCTACAGACACTATATAATTAAATTAAATTAAATGAAGGCTCACCTTTAGCCCATCCAGTAACGACATTTCCCAAATAAGCCACCTTGAACTCGGGGTCAGGCGTGCTAATATCCAGACTGCTGCAGTGTTTCCTGACCAGGCGCCTAAGACCGCGTGTCACTGCGTTTACCGCCCTTCGGCCTGGACCAGCGCTCGCCTGCATGTGAGCATTGGTCCCAATAATCTCTGAACGAGTCATGAGGTCACTTGGCAATTTCACTTCTGTGTTTTCAATTGCACCAGTTTCACTATTCACATTTGAGTTATTTGTATTACCACAATCTAAACGCTCGAACGATTTAAATAATTCTGTCACTTTACGATCGCAACGACAACTTAATAATAACGCGTCTACGGACTTGGAACGCAATATCTGCGGACGCTTGAACTGAAAGCGACGCACTGTTTTGTTATTATTGTTGGTAATGCACTGTACTTGTTTTGTGGTGGACTGAGAATCCGTCTTGCCACCACTACCGAAACTTGTCTCCGTGTTGTCCGCTGAAAGCGAACGCTTCTTCGGTTCATCGGAGGTATTTTCGGGTTCATCTGACTTTTTGGATTCCTCATTGTTCTCGTCACACTCCAGCAAGTTCATCAAATCTATCCGAGGCGCCTTGGCCTCGAAGATTTTACCACATGAGTCTACCTCATCAACTGCCTTGTGCTCCATGCTGTCACGCAGCTGCTTGTTCGTTTCTTGTTCACCCATCTCAGAGCCCGTGAAGAATGAGACTACGATGGCATGACCTGTTCTAAAAAATATTCACCACTCTAAACAAAAATTGCAAATGTTGATCTAATCAATACACAAGTTGTCGCGAATTAACCGAGGCGCTAAATGCCGCACTCGGCGAAGATGTTCCGTCGCCAGGATCTCGATGAAAACTGTTCGGATCGTTCGGACGGATCGCGTAAATAAACACTTGTGATCGCCGATCCCCGCGCGCCCGCGCCAACGCCGTGCGATAAAACTTATGAATGGATCATGAGACAAGGAGACGCGACTCTGGACGAAGTGCCGCTGCCTGGTTGCTGCCTGGTTGCTGGTTGCTTACCTGTTATCGCCCGATGATTGTATCAATTGTAGAGATTGTTCGAATTAATATTGAATCACCGTATATGTCGCATGGTATTCCACTCTCTTTGTTACTTTGATCAGGCACAATGAAAACCAACGGAAATGTACTGCGCTTTGAGGTGGGTTCTCTATTTCCGCTACGATTCTTGTTTGACGTCGGTTACAGGCATCACATTCTGTGGACAAACACCAAATATATAACATCTGACATAACTGAAAGACAAATTTATTTTAAACATTTTTCCTTAAGGCAAATTGCATTAACTTCTTATTACGTACATGATCTGTTCAAAAAGTACCCGGAATTACTAATAATTAAATTTCGCGGGTCTGGAGTGTCTGATTGTCAAAATTTTTTTTTTTATTGTGTTGGTATACATGCCCCTAAAGTATGATGAAATTTTCAGCTATATTCACTGTTTACTTTGTCTGTGGTAGTCGCTAAGGTTCGACGTGTTTTTCTGAGCTCGGCGATTTTTATAATGGAAGAATTGAAAAAGTCAAAGAATTTGTATTAAATTTTGCGTAAAAAATGAAATAAAGTGTTGCAAAGTGCAAAAATTCACCAGATATGGCTCCGTGTGACTTTTTCCTATTCCCAAAGTTGAAGAGACCCATGAAAGGACGGCGGTTTTCCTCGATTGAAGAAAATCGCCGAGAGTGCTCAAGGACATATCAAAAAGTGAATATCAAGGGTGCTTCGAAAATTGGAAAAAACGCTGGCATAAGTGTATTATATCTGGGGGGGACTACTTTGAAGGGGACCACATTAATGTAGACGAATAAATAAATATTTTTTTTAAAAAACGAAAATTACGAAAACTTTTTGAACAGACCTCGTATACTTAATAAGAATTCAGATTTAGCTTTTTAGTTAAATTCTCAAATGTTCCAATTAATGTCTTCGAAGCATACTTACAATATCAGAAATTGTACAAATTAAAGTAATTTGTTTTACACAGTTCATTTTATCGATTTCGGGTTATAAAAACGTATTTAATTTATGTGTGGATGTCACCTGTAATCTGTAGAACTTACATATGCATAGATTTTGATTAGAATCGCTTAAATGCTCCACAAAATTCCAAACTTTGGACATTTTTTATATTTCAACCGCATACCGTAGTCCTATAATCTGTTAGTATATTTTGTATTTCAGACTGTTAAATCTATCGTATTTTAGTATGTTATTTCAGACTAGGTAATCTATCGTCATAAATAATATAATATTTTAGTCTATAATATTTTAGTATTTTATTTCAGACTATGGAATCTATTGTCATGAATAATAAATTATTTCAATTTATAATATTTCTGTATATTATTTCATACTATGAAATCTATCGTTTAATCAATATCATCAAATATGTACAATATTTAATTACCAAGAAACGTCCCGGCCAATCTTTACAAAGAACTAACAAACGCGATTTCCAACCAATATCTTTCGAACAGTTTTTGAATTTTAAAAATTGATTCAAGATTGTGAGCCAAAAGATGGACGAAAAATTTTGAACATTGAAACAAAACATTTATCTGCTAATTACAAAAAAAATGGCTAGGCAGATCGTAGCACATAAACGATAGTTTTTATAGAGTTACATCGAATTTCTCTTAAATTTTTTAAATTGGTCCAGTCGTTTTAGAGAAAACGTCGACGAAAAGTCAGAAATCCACTCACATGAACACACACATATATATTTGTTTAAATTTGGTCTCATTTGATTCAGAATGACTTGAAACGTCGAGAAAAAAAAATGAAATTAACAAATCGGATTTATGTATATTATTTAGTTACTAAATAATATACAAACAAAATACGATTTTGAGTATAATTAATTACTATAGGTACTTCAATATAGTACTGATACATTATTTCAATATAACATTAATAAAACAATGTCATCTTCATTATCATATTTAAGAAAACGAGATATATTGTTTGCTACATAGAAAGAAAACGCAACCTGTTTTTGTCATTTTTTTATTCTAATTGTATCCCATATATTTACACATGACAACGACGCAAACGCGTAAATATTATAACAATTAACAATAATAACAACAAAATATTTTTATAACAATGCGTAATGTCCAAAATAAAAACAATGTATTGACATGAAGTGCATATGATTAACTCGATTAGTTTGCAAGGTTAATAATTGATAATGGTAGAAGAAATATATATATATATATATATATATATATATATACATATCTTATACTCGTATATAAAATCTCCTGTAATGGGGTATGAAAGGATAATCCTCCTAAACAATTATTCGGATTTTGATAAATCTTTCAGAAGTTTGTTAAGAATTTTTTTTAGGATTTCTTTAATTATAGAAATGTAGTAAGATTGTAGAAATAGCTAGAAAAAATTTCAAAAAAACTCTTATCATTGATTGACATTGAAAATATTTGAGGCATTGTTTGACATTAAAATCAAATGAAAACTGTCATTTGCCATTTCTATTCAATTATGAGCTAAGACAATATTAAAATATAATATATTCATGATTATGAATAAGAAAAATGTAATGTCTGCATTATTATTGCCAAAAAGCAGCTGAGATATGCCAAAAATTAAAATAACATAAGATACAAATTTTTAACTAATTGGTAAATTTAAATAATTGGTAGACATTGTTAAAGGACAACGTGTCGGGTCATCTAGTATATATATATTTATATATATGTATAAGCCTGTCTATGTTAATTTCTTGCAAACCAATAAAGTAAGTCAAAGTATGGTACGCTATGTGGTTTTCTCTATAAACAATTAATGCAAAAACTTGCAAAACGATGTGTTTGTAGTAATCAATGAATGCACTTGCGATTATACAATATGTTTTCACGCCCATGTATGTCAGTTATTGCGTCTGCCTATTGTTTATATGCCGATGTAGCATAATTAGAGAGATATCAATGCAAAACTAGTAAATCTGAGGCTCCTTCATGCGTTGAATGAATTAGAACAGAGATTTATATCATCAGTTGAATCATGAGACATGATATAAATTATATTTATAAAGTAATAAAATGTATACCAATTTATAAAGTTTTTAAAACGTACGGTAGGGCGGGGAAGAAAAATGTATATTATTCACGTGTGAACGTCAACTGTAACCAATAGCTACCTACGAAATAAGGCAAAAATTCTGATCAGAATCGCTGAAGTGCAGGGTGCAATTCCAAACTTTGGAGATTTTTTATAATTCAATCGAAGGGCTTATGATATTATTATTAATGTTAGTGATGCCAGCCCGTTGTTTTGGACAAAGGTCTAATTTGATTTTAAATAATTATATTGTGAAACCCAGACCAATTACACATATCAAACAAACCACTATCAGACTATGTTTAGTAAAACTCCTAGCTAATTCATCATTGTAGAAACTTGTTTTTTTGCTGAAATGTGGTTTATTGTAGATTTGTGCTTGTTTTTCAAAAATTTGTCACCTGCTCCGTTCTACCTCATAGGCGGGGTGAAATGAAACAGATAGGAGACAAACAAATCCAATGCAGTATGTTAAATTTTAAGGAAATTTACGAAATAATAAGAAATAAGAGATATAACACTGTGTATAACCTTGATCTGATAATTTGTCAAAAATATTCATTAGCAGAGTTGGAATAACTATTTATTTAACTAGTCTCATATGTTGTTGCTTTTTTTTAACTTAATTTACTTTTTTATTTACTATTGTTTATTGACTATACTTTTGACATGAAAAACTTTAAGATGTTTTTTTTTACACCACATGATTTGAGCTTCTATAGAGACTATATGTAATAAGTGTTGGATCGAACTTAAAATTAACAATATACTTGATAATATAATTAATTAAATTAACTTAAACTTAAACAAATATACCAATCGAAAAGTTCACTTTTAACTTATTATTGACATTAAAATTTACATTTTATTATAGAAAGATATTAATTAAAAACTATAAAAATAAAATATAATGAATAAAATATGAAATGATATGGAATAAAAATGCGCAATTTAACATACTTTCGGTATTCATTCCGTTTAACACTCCATTAATTTTTATTCATTATATATCTATCAATTTTTATCGATATTTCTAAGAGTCATGTACGCTATTAAATAGTTTCCAATAAAATAACTAAACCCATTTTATACATAAATAAATACGATATGACCGACATTTATAATAGTTGTGATTTATTAACAATTTGATACGCAAACTCTTAATTCCGAGTACCTTTTATATTTTTAATGTCTTTATTTTTAAAGAATTCTCTTCTATGTAATTATTCAGCGTAAATAATTTTGTTGAATTTAGATTAGCACAGTTTCTGGTGCTTTTGAGTCATCATAATAAACTGACATTGATGTCAAATGATGAAAAGATAATATAAAGGAGCGTAAGAATGCTTGATGGGCTTGAAAGAATGGCTCCAAGAAACTTTGCGAGGAAAAGTTCACAGTTACATGACCATGACCAAGAAACAAACTATTGTTATTCTAGTGACATAATATTGTAAATGAATATATATATATATATATATATATATATATATATATATTCTCTGGATTAGTTGTAAGAATATCAATTCTGATATAAAGCAGAAATTTAAACATTCTTTTACAGGTAGTGTTTCTATCCAAGATCAAACGTCAAAAATATCTAAAATAAATAATTTGTCTAACAAATGTACTGAATTTTTCCGATGTTTATCAAACCATGGAACATTTTCGCAAAAACAGTGCCAGCAGCATTTAATTAGTAATACGAATCAGATATCCAATTAGAGAACACGTGCGAAATAAATTTGATTGGGTGTATATCCGATCATTTTACACCTGGGAAGATAATATTTATACCGATCGACAAAATGAAACAATAATTGTAATTGAAATTGCTTAAATATATCTAATAATATAATATGGCTCTAATTAACTAAAATTTGTTGGTAAAACACTATTAACAATTAATCATTTCAATCTCAACATTTTTCTCTCTCGGACGATCTGAAAAATTACTTAAAACTATTTTTTTTATTCATTTCGATTATCTGCATATATCAGGAAGTTTATGCAACTTTTTTTAATGTACTAACTAAGTGTAACTTAATTAAAAAAAGAGTGCCCGTAAGGTTCACACTCACGTTCACAAGCAATGATGAGACGAATCATTGGCAC